ACAGCTTTGCTTCACTCAACACAAAAGTCTGAGGATAAAAACAGATTCAAAGGGAAAAAAATGAAATTCAGTTCTATTCACAAGTAATTCAAATGCCTTTTACAGACTTAGATTTATGGCTCTTTCCTTGCTCTTATATATTTCAGGGCCAACTTTCATGTTCCATTTTCAACATCCCAGATAGAATATCAAGATATGCTTGGCACTAGATATGAGAGGTTATGAGGAAAGAATTTCTACAAAAGAAGCAAGCTGAAAATCTGACTTCTTCCCATTATGCTTTGGACAGGAGAAAGAGCTGGGGAAGCATCCCCAAGGGAAGAGAGAACTTGCTCTTCTGCACACCAGACCTCCCGAGACGGAACTGAGTCACCCTGCACCTGCTCTCTTGCTCATGGCCCAATCTGGACTTGGAAAAGTAACAGACAGAAGTTGCCACAAACCAGCTTCTAGTGTCTGTTTGTTGGGTTTGTTTGTTTTTTTTCCCCCCTTTCTAACTGGTTTATGGATCATCACTGCGTTAAAAAAGGCTATCCAGGAAATACAGCACAAATACAATAGGTGGATGGATTCACAAATCAACCCTGCAAAAGGTCATCTCAATTACCAACAGTATTACCAATCCCTTAGCAGTCATGGGGAACAGAGGAGGAAGGCTTAAACCACACTGTCTTCATGCACCAAGACCAAACTAAAAATGGCTCTAGAAAGAGCCTTGCCCACACCAGCCCGTGCCCTTGGGGGGGTGGGTGGGTGTGTGTGTGTGTGTGGGTGTGTGTGTGTGTGTGTGTGATGAAGTACAACGTAAGTATCTAAAGAGCAAAACACACAGTATAATTGATTAAAGCAGAAAAGTCTCATAATCCTGTATTAAGGCCAAGGAAATCAAAACATACTCAGGTTGTAACATGTGCTCATCAAAAAGCTCTCAAGTGAATTTCATAAGAAATACTGACCTCTCACTTTGGTGGGGTTGGGACCTGCTATGCTAGAATTCCTTTGAAGGCTTGGATTCATGTAAATAGAGGACAATACATAGAAGTAATTTTATTTCAACAAAGTATTTTTAAGGATGCAATAAAACAACTAAGAGTACTCTTATTGAAAGACTGGAATCTTTTGAAAAGAATACAGGAAAATACTCAGTGTTGGGTGGGGGGATGGGGTAACTGGGTGATGGGCATTAAGGAGGGCACGTGATATAATGAGCACTGGGTGTTATGTGCAACTGATGAATCACTGAACTCTACCTCTGAAACTAATAATACACTGTATGTTAATTAATTGAATTTAAATAAAATTTAAATAAAGAAAAGAAAATACTCAGTGTTATCAAAGGCTATCTTCAAAATTACAACAGGTATGACTAGGTAAAGTTTCAATGAAATAGTCTTGGTTATAATAAAATCACCCCCATACCATGTTTATACATCAATGATACATTCTACATTTACCTCTTCACTAAAAACACTATTTGAGATCTGTGGTCTTACTTATTGTAATTAAATATACACTTTCCAAATAGGGCCCTAACACTAACCAATTAAAAGTAGCTCTTTCTCTTGTCTTCAGTTTCTGAATTTAGCCAATGACTCTGAACTCTGAACTGTTAAAACAGGGCTTCTGGCTGAGTAAAGTAACAATCCAGACTGGCACTGTCAACACTCTACATATAAATTTCAAGTCTGAAAACACAATTCATTGTGCTGTAAAAGGCTCTTTGTAAACTGGTCAAAATCACTGTTCCTCTCCTGTCTATAGTAAATCTTCGTTTGTCTTGAAAAATTTCCGAACTAATCTACCTTCTCAGAGGCAAGAAGCTTCGAAGAGGTCTTTGGTGAAATAATCTGGGGGCAATACGTTTAATATATTTGCTTCTAAAAAAATATCTAAAGCAAAAGCAAGTCTTGGGCAGCTAACTGGGAACCCAAGAGATCGCAGTAATGTGGAAGAAAGTTTTGGTCCAGCTCAGGGTCTAAAGGTTGGAAGATGACAAGAGAATAGTCAACCTCAAGCCCTTCCCCCCTCTGCCTTTTAAATTCAATCTTTCTTTGTCTTTAATCCAACAGAAAATTAGAGTCTGCTAAAGTGAGCCTCCCGCATAACAAAAATAGCTTTTGTTTTGCCTACTACCCATCAGTAAGTGTGTTTATTCAAGAGTGAACCAGCCCCTTTTCCTCCAAAGAGCTGTGCTGCCTTTACAGACAAGATCCATCTGACTGACCTAAAACAAACACAAAGACATTCATTCTGTAAACCCTGAGATGTTCAATTCAAGAGCCAAGACCCTGGCCATTAAGGAATTAGTGACTTAGTCTTGAAGAAACAGAGCCTTATCCTTAGCTGTCCTCAGGTGCTACAACATAATTCATGACTTTCATTAAAAAAGAAGAAGAAGAAGAAGGAAAAGAAAAAAGAAACAGAAAGAAAAAATATATATATACTTAAGTCTGACAGTAGGAACTAGGAAAAAGGGGAATTTCTCTCCTGGGAACTTTAGTAACATTATCAAAACAAGTGAAAAATAAAATGCAAGACATTCAGGCCATTCTTCAGCCCACAGTAGCAGTGCTAATAATCCCTCAAATGAAATCCTTATATCCTTTGGTTAATCATCCTGCAATCTTGGACACACACACACACACACACACACACACACACACACACACTATCCTTTTCTCTAAATTACCATATAAACCTCACTATTTAAATTCATCTTTTATAAAAACTGCATCATCTTTCATTAAAATTTCCCTTGTTGATATATGCAAACCAGGTCAGTTTCTATTGGATTTGCATACTAGTGTTTTACCCCTTAATTCAACTCCTTGTTGAAGGTTTAAAAAATAGCAAGAGCTGGACCTCAGATACACATAAAACAAATGCTGCTTATATGTCTAAGTGAACACTGACACCATTTACAGATTCTCCCCCCACCCCTTTTCCTTGGGGCTGAGAGCCTTGTCAATAATCATTACTTATTAAACAGGCTGCCATTCCCTTCTACAGAATGTAGAAAAGGAGCATGGAGAGGTAGAAATAATTACCTTGGGGTTTTCTTTAAAGACCTCCTGAATGCAACACAAGGAAATCAACTGAGAAAGAACATGAAATAAACCCCCCCCACACACACACACACATATACAGTTGAGAAGTACACCCACACTCCATTATTCGTATCAATTGCATCAAAAGATAAAAAATCTGAGGTCTTCAGGATAGACACATAGATACTTTCAAACCACTGAATACGTCCATACATACACTTGCATATCCTTTATCCTCCACAAAACTCAAGCTAGATTTGCTGAGAGAAGCCTCTAAACACCTCCTGAGAAAATGTGCTCTCAAAACGACTACTTCAGCCAAAGGAGAAGGAAGCAGCAAGTTATCGGGTTTGACTGCCATTCTGGTTTGTGGCAGATTCCCTCCTTCCCCTCTTCTCTCTGACTCCCAATTTATCTTTTTTTTTTTTCCTCCCATAGTCAGGGCATTAAGGAATTTCTCTCTTGGACCTTACCCACAAATGCACTAAATCCTTTTTTTAAAAAGTTTCAAGGGTTAAATAACACCCAAGTTAATAAGATCACAGGTCAGAGAAATGAAAAATTGTCAGATGACTGAAAGCAAGCCAGGTATTCCTACTGAAGAGTTAATGATGAGCCCTCTTCCTCTCCAGATGTTATAGCTCAAAACAGAAATACAATGTAAAGACAGTTTTTGGAGAACAGGCTTAAACAGAACTTGAACTGGCAGGCGGGGGATTTGTCCTAAATAACCTTCACAGGTTGCAAACTGTTTCCGATATCCTGATCAATAGAGTGAGAAGCTTCCCAACATTTCCTTTAAGAGCAAGGAGGGGGGTAGGGGGTGGGAGGTCAATTAGTCACACAAAACATTTGTAAAAATAGAAAATATACACCACCTATACAAATACATAGGAAGCTATCACTCTTGGGGTAAACTGGCCAGTGCTGGCAGGAATCGCGCCCAGGCTAAAGATGCTACATTCACAGAGTGACCTGTTTCAAAGGGGTTGGACGTTCTCCCCCTGGAGTGCTGAGAACTCTGTTCAATTCCCCTTACATTTTGCAGGCACAGAGGGAAGGGAGATGAGGTTTCACAGCCCACCTTTGGGAAAGGAACAAAAGCAAACGCTTGACAGCTGAAAAAACTCCTCCTCCGTCAGGACCCTAGAGGCGGTAGCTCGGCAGGGCTCCCTTGCTATTTCCCCCTACTTAACTCACTCTGGGCGGCCACAGAATCAATCTCTACACCCAGGAAGGGCCAAGGGCAGGCTGGGGGGGAGGCGGGTGGGGGATGGAGGGGGGTGGTGATCACTTTAGCCCTACGCCATGGATCGCCTCCTTTCCCTACCTCCCCCAACGGCTTCTAATTAACCCTTCCTGGTCGCTGCCCGGGTCAGGGCTGCTGTAAGTCGACAGCTTCATTCTATCAACATTTCCATCAAATTAGCCCCCCACACACACGCGCACACACACCCACACGGACAGAACTTCCCTTTGTGGTTTATCATCGCTCAATTTGCATGTGCTTTTCTTTCACTCCTTCCTACCGGCGGGGAAAGGGCTCAGTGCTTTTGGGAAGGCCCTCCCTCCCTCCCCAGCTCTCAATAGGAGCCGGATCCGGGAGCTCGCCAGCAGGTCTGCAGTGAGCAGAAATCGCGCTTGCGTTAACCCTTTGAAGGGAGTTAGGAGATCTGTTCTCGTTTGGGACCCACTGAAGTAGGCCGGGTGGAGCTTGACAATCTGCCTCCGTTTCCTACCGCCCCCCAGCCCCACCCCGCACACGGACCCCAAACAGACCCGCACCCTTTTCCTCCCTTGCGGCCAGGTTAACTATCTCATTCAGCGCTCCAAACCTGGAATTGGGTGAGGGGTGGAGGATGCGAGAAGACAGGCGGCGGGAGGGAAAAGACAGCAGGAGGGCAAAACGGAAAGTCAGTAGTAAATCAGAGTTCAGACCCGGTGTATACTTACGAAATTTGGGGCTGGTGCTTGTTTCTGGCGTGGTGGTGGTAGAGGAGGAGGAAGACGAGGAGGAGGAAGGGGTGGTGGCAGCATCCTGAAAGGGAGACAGGGTCCAGGACGGAGTAGAATCATGAAGGTAGGAGGAGGTAGCGTATGCCGCAGTGGGCCAGGAGGGCATTGCCTGGGTACTGGGGGTTCCTGGCACCGGGGGTCGGGAGCCCGGCGTGCTGCTACTGAAGAAGGGGGCTGTGGTGGACAGGACCGTCGGGGGGCCCGCAGTGTTCCGTGCGGTGGTGGAGCGCGGGCTGGCCCGGATGGGCACCCGGTGCCCGGGAAAGCGAGTCGGCGCCCGCGTGATGGTCGTCAGGCGGGTGCTAATCCGGTTGGGCGTCCTGGAAGAGGCGGCGCCGCCGGCGGAGGGGGTGGCGGGGGACGCAGTAGAAGTGGTCGTGGTGGTGGTCTCCATAGCCTTGGGGAAGGAGCTGGGCTTGGAGAGGAAGAAGGGGTCCTGGCCCATCCCCTTGGAGTCCACCAGGTCGGTGGGCACGTATTCCTTGACGGAGCCCACCACGATCCATTTGAGGAGCATGAGGCTGAGCCCCAGGCCGATGAAGCCGATAAACAGAGGCACCACGCACAGCCACGTCTGCTGCCGGTTCCACACGATGCAGTCGCTACAGCGTAACTCCCGGGGGGGCTCGGCCGCCCCTTCGCCGCCGCCGTCCGGGC